GGTCGTGAACAAGGCCGGTCTTTATTTTGAAGAATAGTTGTTGTTGTTTTTGAATAAATTCATGCATAAAAAATCATTATTTTAACACGGCGCACGAACTTTTTCCTCAACCTAATATATAACTATAAGGTTGCACATATTTCACTTTTTCAAATTATACACTGGTTATAATGACTCATCGCAATGAGTCGTCGTTTTTTTTTTTGCATTGTTAAACCACAACATTTTTTTGCGAAAATTGTACTGGAAAAAACGTCAGAATTAGTTTCATCAGAATTAGTCTCGTCAGAAATTAGTTCTGTATTATAATTGCTGTTACTTAACCTTGTTTATTAGAGTGTAGCATTGATAGTTACTGGATTGGGGATTGTCATACCATAAGCATGCAACACTGACTAAGCACCTCTCGTGTGAAGAGCAAAATACAGACATAATGTCTGTTTAGCCTAATTGTAATATCTTCAATTCTGAGATATTACAATTATATTTCTATAAACAGACGGTGACACAATCAACTGGTAATTGAAAAATATCATTCGACACTTATACGCACTATAGTAGTAAAATGTTATTGTTAGAAATCTCATTCGAAACGCTGTTCTTGTTAAAACTTTTCAAAAGATCATTTCAGCAGTATTAAATATGTATAATAACGTGCGTAGCACTTACCTATACACGGCACATGTTATTATAAATGGAGACATTTTTTCAGTTACAGATGCTAAGAAGAAACGCGCCTGTAATAACTTTCTGTTGTTTTCATCTTATAGAAGAACAAGATAAAAACAACCTTTTCCATGCTGTTATTAGAAAAGAGCAAAAAAAAATGTATACCTCCACGTCAAACAAACATGGGAGAGTATAAAAAATAAAAGATTTTTTTTCTCAGTTATAATGACACGTGTCTTCGAGTTGTATTATGGAATGAAGTATGAGTTATACGTCAAAAAAGCATCCAGGAAAGTCAGGTAACGTATGAACCTACCTTAGTACTTGAGTAATATTTTTCACTTTATATTATTCATTCGTTAAACAGATGATGAAATAAAAGTGACTTTGCAAAGGACGTCGTTTTACTGGCTAAAGAAGGTGAAGAACGTTATTCTTTTCGTTTTTTTATTAAAAAAGTGTGAAAATGCTCAAATAAGTAAGAGTTACTGTTTTATGTATAGAAATATTTTTTTCTTTTTCACTTGTGTTGTACTACCCAGACTGAACCGTTGCAAGGTTGCTATCTGTTTCGCTTTTATTTCTACTTTTTCTGTTTTGTATGTCAATCACATCATTATCCAGCAAAAAACATCTTAAATTATTTCGTTATTTTTAGTTGCTAATACCTTTTTCTACGGTTCTATCAAAATATGAAAACGCTTCTATTCATTGTTACATACCTTTGTTTTTTGAAACGTAAAAAGTACTTTCCGCTTTTTCCTCAATTGTCTTTTCAGATACTTAAAGGCAGGCACTCAAAGCATATGACTTCCACTTTGTATATGAATTAGTTTTCGTTGTAACAAATTATAACAACACATTCATATTACACACATAATAAACCTATACAAAGTTCTCATTTTGCTCTATTTATGAAAACTAGTTTTATTGTTTTCTAGAATTTCGATGCCCTCTGTGTTAAAACGTAGAAAACCTAAGTTTCCTTTAATATTGGTCAAAGATGTAAAAAAATACATCTCATCCTGTGCAATCCTCAATGATGTCACATGGCTAAGTTCTCATCTTGATTCTCAATATATCATTTGGAGTAGTCATCCAACAATATTATCAATCTCAAAAACTGAATTAAACACTAATCCAACAACAATATCATGTTGTACTTTAAAAGAATCACTTTCTTATGCACGTTCACTTGTTAACGAGAATAAAAATATTTTAATTATAGCAGGAGCTGGTTGTTCTACTGATTGTAAAGATGAACATGGAAATAATTTACCAGATTATCGATCAAGTGGAGTACCAGTTAGAGAAGAACTGGATGATCCTGCTTTATTTCTCAGTAACCCATCACTTATTTGGGGTATATATACTGATAAAATGAAATTATTTTTAAATGGCATACCACATCAAGGATATGAAATAATGTTCAAATATTTGAAAAATTCAGACAAAAATTTTTATGTGATGACGTCAAATATCGACTGTCAGTTTTCTAAAAGTGGTTATAAACATATTTATGAATGTCATGGTGCATTAAACCGTTTACAATGTTGTGATTTAAAATGTAAACAACCAATATGGAATATCAATTCAATAAACGATTTTAAATATTACACATGTGAAACATGTAAAAAAATTGCCCGTCCAAATGTTAGTATGCATATGGATACTAATTTGACATATAATAATACAATAAGTACTAAACAAAAACGAAATTTATTAAAATGGATTAAAAATAGAAATAATTTATTAATTATTGAAATCGGTTGTGGACAGTCTATACATTCTCTTCGTTTGGAATCAGATTATTTATTAGAAAAATATCCTTCAACAACAAAGCTTGTACGTATCAACAATAGTAAAGATGAACAAAATTTTATTACAGATAAAATTGTATCCATTCAATGTACAGCAGAACAAGCCATGTGCGATATATTTTCAGATACTGTAAACTTGAAATTATGATTATAAATTGCTTTGATCTTGATCAATAACACCTTGTAAGCTTGTGAATAATATATTGATATTATGTTGAAGATAATATGTTGATAGTTTTATTTGAACCTAAAATTTAACACGATCTTGAAAACTGAACGTTTATTTCCTCTCAATTTTTATTTTAGGAATAGATTTAAATCTTTACTACATAAAAATACAAATGACAATAAGATAAAAAAAAGAGGAAAGTTCTGATGAGTTCTCAAAGTTGAGTTCTCTCAATTGATACTCAAAATATTGATTATCTATAATAACTTGGACAAACACAAAATATATCATTGTACAGGGCTTAAAAATCTGATTCTAATCTACTAATTTATCACTAGTTTTGCTGCACTTATCATGTCAAAAATATTATTTATATTAGGCTGATTCCGTACCTTTGAATATTTTAGGATGTTATCCTCTATATAAATTTCGAATACTTTCTATACATAGAGGTGTCAGCCGATCATTTGGTCTGCGATGGCTTGCTAAAACGTTTTTCCAATCAGCAGTAGCGGTTGGAATCATCTGAAAACTTCGGAGGCGACTGCAGCCGATATATGGTGGTCATGGCCATCATATATCAAACAACTTTCTTTCACAAAATTTCGAACGGTGTCTAAAGTGTCTCTAAGAAACGTTTCACTCGATCAGCTTTCCAATCTGTCCCCAGGGCAATTAACATCTAGTTCAAACGGCGATGAGAACCAAGATAAAAAATGTTCTTTCTTTCTTTTCCATCATTTTTCTTTAGTCTTTGCGAATAGAAATGAATCGACTGTATATTCTTACCGTACTCTATCATGTCCCTAGCCTTACCTTACATAATCCATGACTTTGAAAATAAAAGTTTTGGGGGAAGAATTTTTATACACTAGATTAAATTTCCTGAAACTAAGAATGTGTCATGAACTCAAGGACAACAGAGAAGAAACTATTGCAAATTCTACCAATTTCTCATCACCTCATCAGTGGAGTCGAGTGAGGGGGAAGGGAGTAGAGGATGTGAGAGTGAGTTACTTGGAGCCTATGCACAATCGTTAGGGTCATTATGGTGCATACGAAAACGATACAGTTTTGTTAAACTTTTGTTTTTTTGTGATATAAAAAGCAACATAGAAGAACAGATGCTTCAGTCTATACAATTTGTGGTGTGCATTTTTGGATTCGATATATCACAAAAACTACAGCTTCATTTCGAATAGTTTTGTCGCAATTTGCATCAGCGATCTGATTACTGAAAGCTCGTGATTGTAAACACATTGTAACCCCCCAACCCACATTTCTAGGGCTTGGACTTTTCCATATGAAATATGTAAGTTGAGCTTATGAAAATCACAAGCAGATCTTAACGTGTCCTGCTTACAAAGTCAGAGAGTTTCACAATCATTATTTGCATTAGAATACAAAAAAAGTAGTCTTTATCGTGACGTAAACATTAGTTGCCTATAGAGTGAATTATTTGTTTTTCTATGCTGTTCTTCCTTTACAAAAAAAACAAAAGTTTAACAAAACTGTATCGTTCTCGTATGCACCACAATGACCCTAACGATTGTGCATAGGTCCCAAGTAACTCACTCTCACATCCTCAGCGTTTCCGATTAGGCAGGGAAGTGGGGGACCTCCCCACCCTAAATTATGACACTGTCCGTCAAACTTTTGGAGTTTGTGTTCTGCCTTCTTTTAAGTTCTGATTGTCCATCAGAGAATCTGGCAGACAGTCTTTTCAGTTCTTTATTGTTGGGTCAAACGAAGCTGAACGGGTTTTTAGCACACTTCGTCGAGTGAAAACATGGACACAAAATCGTATGGGAGACATGACCCTTGAAACATGTATCAAAGCTTCGACTTTACAACTTCCAATAACCTCAGAAGCTACTAATTTTGTTATAAAGGATTTTATTTCTCATCCAGGTCGAGCCAAAGAACGAAATATATCGTTATGAATAACCTGGACGAATATTAAATATTGTTTTCGTTGAAAAAATAAATTCTGATACGGAGTAACAAAAATTCTTTCAATTAATGATTGTTTCACTTATTTAGGAAAAAACTGTTTGCCGACTTTTTAAAAGACTAAGAAATCTATCCACCCTGATTAAAAGTAATCGGAAAGCCTGCACATTCTCTATCCCCTTCTCCCTTACTTGACTCCACTGATGAAATGGTGAGAGATTGGTAGAATTTGGGATAGTTTCTTCTCTCGTGTTCCTTGTCTTATCGGATGCATTGAGGCGTATTGTGTATGTTAATTGTATCCTAAGATCCATAAAAAAGTCTGAAACTTTGAATTCATACTATTATTCATAGTCTGAAAAGCTGAAATGCAAGTTTTTATTTCCTTTATCAAAGTCTGAATTCAGGATTAAAGTATGGGTTAAGGGATGAAGTGCTCAGAAATAATGTAACAAAAAGCAACGATCTCGACCAACACTGCATTTGATGAAAATAACTGTTGGTTAGAGATATTGTAATTTTTAGATGGTGTCTTTTGGTACTACTATAACTAGAGACGTGCGTGGCCGCGTTGTTCTGCCGCCAATAAAAAAGTTAGAATTTCTGCGGTAAAAATTCAATCTTACTTTTAATAAGTTTTCGGAAGATTCGATGCGCCAATGAACAATTTTTGCTCGACACCACAAAAAACTTCTATAGATTAACAAACAAGGAGGTTCACGTTCCTATCTTGCGACCATCGACGATGTAAGGTGTTGACAAGTGAGAGTTGCGAACAATCTTCGAAAATGAGCGTCCATGAGCTTACTTATTAGCCTGAAACAGTTCTTTCATTCAGTTGATTGAGCTTCTTTCCATTCACACTTACTAACCATGTTTGAAGTACAAGAAGAACAACAGAACTGTTAAACTATGATGTCTATTAACAAACAAAAATAGAAATAACGTATTTTAAAAGACTTTATTTATGATTTCAGTTCACGGAATATTTAATCATTTTCAACTCAAAAACACATTTTAATATAAGAAAAAAAGAATAATATTTCTACAAAAACTGACTTAGATTCATACAGAAAATGTACAAAGAAGAAAAAATAGACAGAAGCAACGATAAAAAAATGGTTCAAATAATCAGTTCTCACGCAGTGAGAGATGGACTGTAAAAAAATTAATAATCTCTTTCTTCTGGTTTCCGATATGGGAGATTAAGATGTTGAAATACACTTTCTTCCATTGGCGTCGATAATGCTTTACCTAAATTAATTTTTTCCACACCCTAGATAATAGAAATAAACAAAAATGTTTAGAAGGCATCTATGAACTGTTAGTTTATTTTATCACTTGATGCGGTGTTATGAATAACATTTGAAGGATGCAGCAATAAAAAAGTCAAAAAGAAATGGATAGTGACACCTCTCTTCTCTCCATTAAAGTCCATTTACAAAAAAAAGTTGCTTTTATTTTCCTTCTATCTCTTATACTTGATGTATCTCTACTTACTTTGCGAACTACTCCAACTGAAAGTCCATGTTGAGAGAGTGACATATTCATTCCACGTGCTAATCTTCTCATTGATCGATTAAACAGAGCTGAGCCAGTAAAATAGAGTAAAGAGCAAGCCCATTCTGCCTTTGGTATCACGATCAGATCAAGACGGCGATGCTTAAATAGAAACAAGTGCAGTTAGATGCAAACATAACATCAGAAAAATGCCTACCTTTGAATTTTCAGTTGGTAATTTGCATACGCCAAAATAGGTGAATTGAACGCCAAATTCATCGTCTACTTTAGTGCTACTAACAGAATTACCATCCGAATGATTGATTAAATCGTCAGTTAAAAATCCTATAATATGACAAAATGCAAGAAAGTACAGAAAAATATATATGAATAAAAGTATAGAATACTTTTTATATCAAACAAATTTTTTATGCGACAGGTATATATTAATATGTAAAGTAACTTGCCATTCCTACCTGATTTTCTCAACTGTTCGACTAATGGTGCTAATATTGTTTCATGAGATTTTCCATCAGGATGTGTAATAAGAATGTCAACATCACCGCATGTTGCTTTTCCACGACGATATGATCCGCATGTTTCAATGATCAAACCAGGTTGAATTTCGCATGCTTTAGCTTTAATCTGAACATAGACAATAAACACTTATATTCATATAAAACAT